AACATACCAGATACTCTGCTGTGCAACGGGGATATAGTCATGAAAAAGACCAGTCTTCTCGGAGTTCCTAGTCCAATAGGGGAAGCAGATGAACAGGAGTCTCGTGGCGATGTGAGTAGGGGGTGAAGGAGCATCTCGCACACTCCCCAATATCAGATACCTCCTGGCCTCACCTCACATCCTCTAGGCTTAACTTTTACCCCAGCAGCTCTTCCACGGATGCACCCTGAAAGCTGCTCCACATGGCTCTCACTCTCTGTCCTGGAGATTCTCTGCAGTCACTTGGGATACCAGCAGGAGCCACTGGCTATTCACGCGGGTGCAATCTGGAAGAGCAATACCCCTTGGTGCACTGACAATGGAGAGCAGGAGCCAATGCTTTTCTTTGAGGTACCTTAGGCGGACAGTTCTGAGGTCCATTTATACAGCTTGTTACGCATTGAATCATGTTCCCAAAAAAGATGCTGAAGCCCTAACTCCCAGTACCTGTGAATGTGACCTTACATGGAAATAGGATCTTTGCAGATGATCAAGTTCAAGGTGGGTCCTATTCCAATATGACTTGTGTCATTTTAGAAAGGGGAAATTTGAAGACAGACTTGCAGATAGGGAGAACATCATGTCAAGATGAAGGCAGCAATCAGAGCGACGTGCCTGCAAGCCAGGGAACATCAAAGAGGGTCAGCAAACCTCCAGAAGCCAGGCAAGTAGCATGGAAGAGATTCTCCCTAACAGCCCTCAGAATGAACCAACCTTGCCTACACCTTGATCTGGGATTTTTAGAACCGTGAGACAATACACTTCTGTTGTTTCAGTCACCCAGTTTGTGGTACTTCGTTATAGCAGCCCTAACAAACTCATACACAACTCCTCAGAATTCCCAGTGAGGTGCTTCCTCTGTTTCTCGCAATGAGGTCCAGCTTGGTAGCCCATGCTTGTGATGGCTTCACTTCAATCCCTGCTTCCATTTTCCCAGCAACCTTTGCATAGTCCCTTGGATCCCAAAATTAAGTCCTCTAATTAAAGCGCCTGTACCAAACCCTTGACTTTGCTTTCTAATGGGAAAAGCCAGGCTATGGCACCCACCTTTGGAAGACAGTCAGCCATCAATCTAGGTCCCTGAGTGGCTACATGGAGGAGAGACCTTGGACTGTTATGTGAGTGAGAAACAAGCTAATCTAGAGTTCACTCACTTGATAGGGAGAAGCCGCTTAGCCTACTCTGAGTCACACAGGGTGAGCCCCCTCAGGGCCTGGCTCTGACAGACACATCCTCTCTAGTACACGGGTGTAATCAAGCCCATGATGGTGCTATTAGGAGAAATTAACAAGGTGTTGGGGCAAAAGGTCACCAGTAACAATGCTCACTTCCACATCTTCCCAATGCAGACCTTCTTCACGGCCTTTATTTAATCAAGTACAGGGGTAGAGTCTCTTTGTGGAGGCCCCCTTGTTGGCTTCCTGGAGAATCCCACCACCTGTCCTTCCCTTCCTCATCCTACCTCACCCCCACCCATCTATTCCTCCTGGGTCGGGGGCTGCTGGGTTAATCAGATACATTGCTTAACCACTCCAGCTACTTCCTAAGAGGTATTCCAGAAGAAATAAAAGAAAACCCTTTATATGCTAAAAAGGTGCTACTGGAAAGTATTTATTATATTATTAAAATGTCTATGTTCGTATCTTGACTCCTGCACTAGACTGTAAACTCTTAGTGTCACCAAATGTGGGGAAATCTTTCTTGCTTTGTATAAAGTAGGAACTGAATAAATATTTTAAAACTGGGAAGGCACGGTAGCTCACACCTGTAATCCCAGCACTCTGGGATGCCCAGACGGGAGGATCACTTGAGGCCAGGAGTTCAAGACCAGCCTGGGCAACATAGCGAAACCCCATCTCTAAGTTAAAATGAATAAAAATAAATAAATATATAATTTGAAAAAGAATTTATTCTTCTCACACTTAAATTTAATATTCCCTAGTCACTCCCTTTTATCAAGTATTATCCCAAATATGGTAGTAAAAGAGCAAAATTCAGCATTTTTCCAAGATAATTTTTTTACATATTTACAAATGACTGGTTTTAATGCCATGGTTTGAAATGAGCATGTCTGTGGAGAGAACTGGGAAAGTCCTTCCCCGCGGCCTTGCCTCTGACCATGCGCACGAGTGGTGAGCTACTCCTGCCCACCTCCCAGAGCGCCCTGTATGCACACGATAATCAAGCTGCATTCGTCCATCTGGCACTCAAGGACTTGGAAAGGGAGCCAGAAAACATAAAGGCAAATCTCTTTCCACAAAGCTTCCCACCTGCAGAAGAGCTGTGATAACACTTCTATTTTCAGCACAGAATCATCACATCAGGTGCTTAGTGAGGGGCTGGGGGAAAGGGCTGGAATGAACCAGAAGTTCTGCGCACACTCACTCTGCCTCTGTGCTGTGGACACCCTCCAAAACGTGCTTGCTGCCAGTGGCATTTAAAAATCATAGAGTAAGGCTGGGCACAGTGGCCCACGCCTGTAATCCCAGCACTTTGGGAGGCTGAGGTGGGTGGATCACGAGGTCAGGAGTTCAAGACTAGCCTGGCTAAGATGGTGAAATCCTGTCTCTACTAAAAATACAAAAAAAATTAGCCAGGCATGGTGGTGGGCAAGTATAATCTCAGTTACACAGGAGGCTGAGGTAGAGAACTGCTTGAACCCAGGAGGCAAAGGTTGCAGTGAGCAGAGATCGCACCACTGTACTCCAGCCTGGGCAACAGAGTGAGACTCTGTCTGGAAAAAAAAAAAAAAAATCATAGAGTGTGTTCGAGACACTAGCAGCACAGAATACTAAATACTACAAACAATTTAACTCTGTGGGCAATTATTTGCTCAGGATTTGTGTGTGCCTGCAAATATTTGGGCAAGGTCTGAATAGCAGAGGCATGGAGAGGTGAGGAGTGGTGGAGGGAAGCCAGCCTTACATTTCCCTACTAGGGCCTGGTGAGGTCTGTCAGCAGCATTTAGAAACCAGCCTCCAGGGGAAGTAGGTCTGCCCTAGTTTCCAGCACCCTGGAAAGCTCCAAGTCTTCCCAATGATACCAGGAAAGCAAATTAGGCAGACAAAGTGGTGATTCAGTGGCTGGTACAACACTGGGTAGGTCCTGATGCCTAGGAAACTGGAACAGAGTCTAAGTCAGTGCAGTTCAGCTACAATAAACCAATCAGAATTACAACTGACGAGCACCTAGTGGGCTTTCATTTGTTTGTTGTTTTGTCTTTTTTGTTTTCTTTTTGAGACAGGGTCTTGCTCTGTCACCCAGGCTGGAGCACAGTGGCACATTCGTAGCTCACTGCAGCCTCTATCTCCTGGGCTTAAGTGATCCTCCAGGCTCAGCCTCCCAAGTAGCTAGGACCATACGCTCAGGGCACCACACCCAGATAATTTTTTTAAAATTTCTTTTAAGAGAGGAGGTCTGTATGTGTTGCTCAGGTTGGTCTTGAACTCCTGGCCTCAAGCAATCCTCCTGTCTCAGCCTCCCAAAGTGCTGAGATGACAGTACCTTTACTGTAAGGTGTTTACTGGGCCTTTCCAAACTTGTGGATGGAGGTGCCCATTCCCACGTGAACTGCACAGGAGCATCACCGATCAGGAACTGTCTCCTTTAGATCCAAAGCCCAGAGGAGTTTTCCAGTTGTTACACAAGTCTCAGTTTTAACCACTTTTGAGAAATACCACACAAATTCTGCTCTGAACCTCTTGCCAATAAAAAAATAAATTATTATCCCCAGCAGCAATCCTGTGGCTATAAGCCACAATAAAATGATGAAATATATCAATGAAGGTGCTAACACACTATCCAATGAAGAATGCTCTCAGCTCATCAGATGCAGTAAAATCGATCCACTGGCATGATGTGAGCACTTGATCAATTTATTTCATTGACAAAGGGATCAATATGCCGATTTTTTACGGTATTAATCATTAGGTGAATTGTATTCGTTCTGCAAAAACCCTTTATACACTTAGTAAAAGGGTTTTCTCTCTCAAAACTGTCGCTGTGAGGCTTTTTTCTCTGCAGATTTGGCATTTCAGCACTCAGGCCCATCTATGGACTGAGGACCGTGAACACAGAGCAATCCCGGTCTCGGGTGGCAGGCATAAGAGGCAGAGCCTTTATTTTTCCAGGAGTGTGATGATCTCACGAAATGCTAAAAAAGCGGTGGAAATCTGGAGGCAGAACGAGCATTCACTGTCAAGCCCGGGACCAGACAGAAAACACGTGGCTTTCTTCCCCCATCCTCACTTTCCCCAACACTCTGGTACCCTGGTGTCTCCCGGTCTAGTGCCATAAAGCTCTCTTCTGAGTTTGGTAGGTGACTGAATGACCAGAGCCCCAGGAAGCAGGAGGCAGGGAAAGAGCAACAGAGATCGCACCTGAGAGCCTGAGGCCCTGCTAGGACAGGCAGGAGTATCATTGCACCAGAGTCCTTCCAAGAGCAGACTGCTTTAAAGGAAAAGTTAACAGGTGAGCTGAGGTCTGAAGCATCCGTTTAAAAAAAAATACAATAAGCCACCAAAACTTGCAGTACCGAGTCAGCCCTAGGGAAATGGCTCAGAAGGAAAAAGCTACAAGTATTATCAGAGACTGTCATCAACTGGGAATTGACATTCCTCAACTCAGGAGGCACCTACTGCAGAGATGGCAGCTGACTCCCAGTGATGCCAGCAGGCTCTTCGCATCTGCGCTGGCAATAAAAGGCAATGCAAGGAAAGCATGTGCGATCAAAGCATGGAAACACAAGAATATCTTTCTGATGTCTGTCCAGAGATTATTCTCCTGCCAAGGGCCATTTTTACCAAAAGGGAAGCACACCAGGGCCATCCTGATGTGTGTTTGTCATGGACACCTTGCTGGACACAGGATGTAGGACTCCAGGATAGGAAATCAGGGCAGGGTACGAGCAGAGTACGTTGTGCAACAGGGAGACAACAGTGAAAAAGACCAGCACAAACATCGTGTCTTGGAACTCAGTCCCAGGTGGACACAGCTGGGACCTCTTAACATGAAGTGGGAGCGATTCAGAGTGATTGGGGAAATGCAAGGCCAGAAGAAGCTAGTCCTAAAAGGAGGTGTCCTAAGTGAGGAACGGGCTCTTCTCAGAGACCCTGGAAGGATTGCTACAGAGGAGCAGGAGGAGGGTACGGAAGGACGACAGTCAATATTTTGTCAGTTACCCAGCGTTGTCCTGGTAAATTTAAACACCCACCTACCTTCTCTGCTCCCACCTCCACCAGAGCTCCTAGTCCAGTTGCTCAGAACACTGACAGATGACCCAGCGGCACTGCTCCTCTGACACTGCAGACCCAGTGTGTGCAGGCACATGTCCACAACAGCTCTTTAGGGGGCAAAAATGTATATACATGTATATGTCCATTCATTTCTTATAAATGTAGATATAAAAGGCGTAAAACACACAAGTGACAACTAATAATAACATTTATAATACTCTCTATTGTACATTTCATATAACTGATTCTTCCAGAAAGCTTTCGTCAATTTTGCCAAAGTCTTCTAAATGACTGAAGAGCTGTCTGAGGACCACCACCCGATGGGGCAACATTCAGACAAAGGAGCAGGTGGGCAGAAATTTCAGAGTTACCAAGAATTTGTCTGGCCAAGAATTACTTTGAATATGATAGTCAAAAGTTGCTGCTCCTACCCCAGCAGCGCTGCTCTTGCGCACATCTGTGTACAACACACACACACACACACACACACACTCCCTGCCATCCGGAACAGCCTCACTTCTATTCTCCAGCCAGCAAATTCCTAAGCCATGGTGTTAAACGTGGAGTTACCATATGACCCAGCAATTCCACTCAAGGGAAATGAAAATGTAGGTCCACACAAAAACTTGTAGATGAATGTTTATAGCAGCATTATTTATAATAGCCAAAAAGTGGAAACAAGTCGAATGTCCATCAACTGAAAAACGAATAAACATGATGTGGTATATCCATATAATGGAATATAATTTGGAAATAAAACAGAATGAAGCACTGATACATGTTACAGCACGGATGAACTTGGAAAACCTTCTGCTAACTGAAAGAAACCAGACCCAGAAGGCCACATATTGAATAATTCCATTTATGGAAACCCAGAGACAGAAAGTAGACTAGTGTTTGCCTCAGGCTGGGAAGGTTGAAGGAGAAATGGGATGTAACTACTAACAGATATGAGGTTTCTTTTGAAGATGATGAAAATGTTTGAAAATTGATTATGGTGATGTCTGCACAACTCCGTGAATATACTAAAAACCACTGGGACACTGGGAAGGACACTTTAAAATGGTAAATTATATGATATGTTAATTATATCTCAATAAAGCTGTTTTTCAAAATTTCTGAGCCATGGCAAAAAAGCTGGTTGACGTCTTATTTCCTGTGAACGTACTTCCATTGCTAATGGTTGAAGAAGAGCTTTATGAAATGTCTTGACCTCATTTTCAGATTGGATTCCCACAACTACCCTGTGAGGCCAGCAGAGACGAGATTGTGTTTATTTATAAAAGGCTGAGGTTCAATCTGTTAGGTGACTTGCTTAGGGTCACACAGCAGATTTAGAATGGAAGTTGGTCTTAGCATTTTCTACAACTTATGCCGACACAGTTCAACTAACTGCAAACTAAAGAGAGGGTAATTACCCTACAAGAGGGTCACATGGTAAGGCTAGGAGTTCAGGCGGGTTACAGAACTAGACCAGGGGTGCGGAGCCCCTGCTGAAAGTCCTCCCCATAAGGCTGAAGAACAGGAGAGCTGAGGTGTTGATTCACAGAATGAGGCCCTAAGAGTGGGTGAGATCAGGGCTCCATAGGCTGAACGTCAGGCACACCTAATTGATTCAGGTGTCCACCCAGTTAATACTTACTGGGCATCTACTGTGACCTAGGCCCCAGGGATTCCAAAGAGAACAAAGTCCTCACTGTCATGGCTTTCAGGGTAGAAAAGGACAGACGATCCTATGACCAACTAATTACGATTGTGATAAGGGCTCCAAGAGGGGAAACAAAAATGCCAAGAGTATATAACGGGACATGGCCTGCTTCAGACCAAAGACAAATTGGGAAGAGAAAATCCAATATTTTGCCAGATTCTATCTTACCAATTCTAAGTATGTCTTTTCCTTGCAAAGTCAAACCAAATAACCTGTTCCTGGTTTTTTGTTTTTGTTTTTGTTTTTTCACATTGAGCATATGATATTCACTCCTCTGCTCTCAGGTTTTCACAGAAGATGAAACATCTATAAACACTTCAAACCACTTAAGAAGTCCCAGGAAGGGAAACTTGATCTTTCTTTTTGCCTTTTTACTTGCTTTTTCCCAGAGAAAATCAGGTTTATCTGATTAGCAAAACTGGTGAAAGGCTGATACCCACTAGGCCCATTTACAGTGGGCAGGCCCACGCACTGTAACGCAATTATGGGCCGATCACTCACCTCTCACTCTTATGGGCCCCTGGGCTCTGGAGGCCTGGGCTCTCCTTGTTAAGCAGAACCAGAGAGCGCCTGCCTATTATGCCAAGCCCAATCTCTACTCTGTGTTCCAGTTTCTTTATCTGAGGCTGGGTGAGTGTTCCAATTACCCATGAGTAACAAACTATGCTAAAGCTTAGTAGCTTACAAGAACAGTTATTTCATAACATATTACAATTTTGCAGGTCAAGAATCTGGGATGAACTCAACTGAGCAATTCTTCTGCACCGCATGACATTGACTGGTGTTACTTCATGGTGTTTGGCTAGTGGCTGGGTCAGGTCACAGGGGAGGTGGGTCAGACAGCTTCACTCGTATGCCTGGCACCATGGCAGGGACGGCTGGAAGGCTGGGCTCAGGTGGGCGCCTCTTCCTCTCCATGGAGTCTCAGGTCTACTGTGTGGTTTCCCAGCAGGGAAGTTGGACTTCTCACCTGCCCGTCTGAGTTCTAATAGTGAGTAGTCCAAAAAAACAGAAAAATAAGTCACTAGGAAACTGCCACAATGTTACTTCTACCCATATACTATTGATCAAAGCAGCCAAAGATCCTGTCCTGATTCAAGAGTGGGGGACATAGATCCTACTTGCAATGGGAGGAGGGTCAAAGATATGAAGCTATCTTTATCTACCATAATGGGTAGGTCTGATTTTGAGGTGGGGGAAGATAGAGAAAGCTCTATTTGGCCTCGAGCCTACACAGTTTTCTGGAGAGCCCTTACTTTGGTAAATAAAGGTGCCCTGTGGACCCCTGCTTAACTCAGTTCTTTGTGTTTACTTTCTTTTTTTTTTTTTTTTTTTTTTTTGAGACGGAGTCTCGCTGTGTCGCCCAGGCTGGAGTGCAGTGGCGCGATCTCGGCTCACTGCAAGCTCCGCCTCCCGGGTTCACGCCATTCTCCCGCCTCAGCCTCCGAGTAGCTGGGACTACAGGCGCCCGCCACCACACCCGGCTAGTTTTTTGTATTTTTAGTAGAGACGGGGTTTCACCATGTTAGCCAGGATGGTCTCGATCTCCTGACCTCGTGATCCACCCGCCTCGGCCTCCCAAAGTGCTGGGATTACAGGCTTGAGCCACCGCGCCCGGCCTGTGTTTACTTTCTATAAGTCAGAACCCTGGAGAGTAAAAGGAGTGACTGTCCACCCAGACCTAGGATAGCCTGGGTTTAGAGAAGCTAAAAATCCTAAGAAACCAGGGCAGGCTAATAGAGTGAGAACTCCAGAGAACACTTACAATTTCTTCTAACCTCTTTTTTTTGCTGCCAGCATGAAACTCAGACTCAGACTTGGTGTGCTCAGCAGTTGCTATCCTGTGACCTGTAGGGTAGGCTGGGACTGGAAATGAAAGACTACAAATAATGCTTTTGGAGTTCTTCCCCAGTCATTCCATTAGAAATGGGCCTTGTGGGGCCTAGAGGTGTAATTCCTGGGATCTAACAGCTGTGGCCTCTGCATTGCTTGGCATCTTGCACCACCTTTTCTGGAGCAAACAATCTCACAGCAGACCTGGTGTGCGGACCCTGGGGACGCTGTGCCATCGGAATCACAGATGGCTCTCAGGCAGCAGAACCCTGCAGTGGCACATGCAAACCTGACGCTGAGATGCACATGTGTGTTTAATCAGCCTTGTGCCTAATCTCGGTAAGGAGCCCCTGTAGCCCTCATCAAGGCCATGTTTCTGGGAGCATGGATGTGGAATGTTGCATAAACAATGCACAGAAGCAAGGGCATGCCTGATTAAAGCAGCAGGGATCGGTGCTGAAGATCTAGGACATCTTATTTCCCATCCCAAATCCAAGTGAATGACGCCACCAACAACAATAAAGGTAACAACAACCACTGCTCTAAATATTTAAGTATGTAAACTCACTTAATCCCCAAAATAATCCTGTGAGGTAGGACGACCATTAACTGCATCATACAGGTAAGAAATCCAAGCACATAGCAACTGAATAATTTGCTCAAGGTCACCTAGAAAGTAGGTGGAGGAGGAGGGCTCTTGAAATCCAGAGCCCACGCCCTTAGTCACCCTGTCTTTATCCTGGTTAACCTCAACAACATAGCTGTGGACTGTGTCCTTAAAATCAGGAGAGTGAGGCCGGGCATGGTGGCCCACACCCATAATCCCAACACTGGGAGGCCGAGGCAGGTGGATCACCTGAGCTCAGGAGTTTGAGACCAGCCGGGCCAACATGGTGAAACCCTGTTTCTACTAAAAATACAAAAATTAGCCAGGCATGGTGGTGGGCACCTGTAATCCTAGCTACTTGGGAGGTTGAGGCATGAGAATTGCTTGAACCCGGGAGGCAGAGGTTGCAGTGAGCCAAGATCATGCCACTGCACCCTAGCCTGGGCAACAGAGTGAGACTTTGTTTCAAAAAAAAAAAAAAAGGCCAGGCATGGTGGCTCACACCTGTAATCCCAGCACTTTGGGAGGCCGAGGTGGGCGGATCACAAGGTCAGGGGATCCAGACCATCCTGGCTAACTCGGTGAAACCCTGTCTCTACTAAAAGCTTCAAAAAATTAGCCAGGCACGGTGGTGGACGCCTGTGGTCCCAGCTACTTGGGAGGCTGAGACAGGAGAATGGCGTGAACCCGGGAGGCGGAGCTTGCAGTGAGCTGAGATTGCACCACTGCATTCCAGCCTGGGCGACACAGCAAGACTCCATCTCAAAAAAAAAAAGAAAAAAGAAAAATCAGGAGAGTGAAGCAGGACTTTGACTTCTGAGTTTCTCAGCTCCTCTGGTGTGTTGGTTTGCTAGGGCTTCCATAATCAACTGCCACAGATGAGGTGACTTAAAATAGTAGAAACGTATCCCCTCCGGTTTCCGGCGGCTAGACATCCAAGGCGAAGCATCAGCAGGGCCGGGCGCCCTCCGAAGGCTCTAAGGGAGGATTCCTTTTCGCCTCTTGTTAGCTTCTGGTGATTGGCAGCAATCTTTGGCTTTCTTAGCTTGTAGAGGCATCGCTCCAATCCCGGCTTCCACCTTCACAGGACCATCTTCCCTGTGTGTCTGTGTCCTCTGTGTAGGTCTCTGCTTCTCTTTTCCTCTTCCTGTAAGGAAAGCAGTCATTGGATTTGGGGCCCGCTCTATTCCAGAATTACCTCATCTTAACTAATTTACCAGAAGATTCTATTTCCAAATAAGGGCACACTCTGAGGTTCAGGGATGAGAAATTCTGGGGGATACAATTCGAACCAGTATATTTGGGGACAAAAATGGGGCCATTCCTCTGCAAAGAGGCAAGGATATCTTGATTTGGACTCAACTCTACCTTCCCTGAAATCAAAACGGCTGGTCCATTTGCCCAGCTTATCTTTCTCTGCGGTCTCTAAGCTCTTTTAGAGTTTGTATGTCATCTGTGGTAAGAACCCCAGCATTTAGGTAAGAACCCTGGCTCACTTGTGAGGTCTGCTTGTTAAGGAGACTCTACGCTTCCCGTTGGTGGGGCAATAGCCCATGTTTTCTGCCTCTCATGACAGCTTGCACAGCCTGTATTCACACAGGTCACAAAATGGTGTTTCCAAAGCACAGTCTGAATGCGTCATTTTCTAAAGGCTAAAATCTTTCCCAAACCCTCACCCCTCTGAGGAGCTCAGCCTGGCATGCAGTCTCCGTGACAATGTGGAATAGCCCCGTGCTCACAAGCATGAGCTCCGGAGTCAGACTGCCTTGGCTCAGAATCCTGGCTCTGCCACTTGTAAGCTGAGATGATATGGGCAATGCACTTAAGCAGTGCCTGGCACATAAGAAGTGTCTGCTAAATGTTGGCGATCATTATTATCATCACTGCTTTCCAGCCTGGGTTCCCGATCCACATTAGCTCCTCGCTACTGCCCAAACACTGACATTTTTCAAGCTCCCGTTCTTCACTTTTCTAGAATGCCCTTTTTCCTCTCTTTCCACTGGAAATTCGAATTTATTGTTTTAAGCCCAGTTCAAATTTGCCCTTTCAGTGATGCCTTCTCCCACCTGACCTGAGCAAATTGTTGCTTTCTCCTCTGTGCTCCCACACACCCTGACCTTTCCATCCTCCCTCTCTGTATCGCCTGCCCCTCTTGTCCCCAAAAGCATCCAGCACCGTGGCAGGCACATCGGTAAGCTGTCAAAAGCTATTTATTAAATGGATGTACAAAATGCTGAATATTGGACATTTTTTTCAGCCTTTCCGCTCTAGTCTCTCACCCTTACAGACTCACCACTGTCGTTCAGTCCGCCTCCCAACCCACAGCCCCTCCAGGCTCATTTATAAATAGGAAATGACATCTGCATACAAATATATCCCAGAGGCCAGGAATGCTCTGAAGACAAGGTCAGACACACTTGTTTTTTTCACCTTCTGAAACATCTGATTCCTACCTACTTTAGCTTCAGTATCTAAAACTCAGGCGTCTCCCTCAAGGTCAGTGAAGGTTTTGCCCACCTTTTCACACCCTTCATGGAAAGCCTCTCTCCTTTGGCTGGTAGCCTTTCCCCAGGATAACTCCCATCTGGTTCTAACGCGCACCATCTGAAATGATTACACCACGCCTGAAGAACCCAGTGCTTTATTTCTTCACCCATTCAACACAGACGCTAACAAGACAGACAGATTTGGAACCTCTGAGTTCTCTATTGTCAAATGAAGACGGTGTTATCCCATGAGGAGCTGCATGTTTTGTAGGCCTTATGAACATGCAAGGGGTATGGAAATGTATAGCACAGGTGTGTTCCCCAGTCTGAGGGGAGACAGGAAGTCCCCGTGTGGAAGTGATGTTTACTCAAATATCTTGAAGGATGAGGAGGAGTTATCCAGGAGAAGAGCTCGGGGAAGACTGCTCAAGGTAACCCCGAGGCAGGAGAGAAAGGTTCTTTATACCCAAGAGCTGAGACAGCTCACACGGCTGGAGAACAGTAAGCCATCGGGCTGCTGAAGGAGGCAGAGGCCCTATTACGTAGGACAGCATGACTCGAGGGAAAGCTCTTCAACCTTATCCAAACAACAGAGAGCCTCTAAAAGGCTGGAAGCAGGGAAGGGAGCTGCTTCGATTTGGTTTAGAAGGTTCATCTGGCTGTGGACTGGATAATAGGTTGGGGGTGGTGAGGTGATGAGTTAGGAGGCTGCCGCCGAAATCCAGGCTCCTCCTAATGATGCCGTATTAACTTGAATTCTGACGCTCTTTCCTGAGTGGGAGAGAAAGCGGCGATGCCAGCACAACAGGAGTATGAACAGAAGTGTTCAGCCCACCAGCACATCATCCATCCATGCACTGGGGACCATCATCTGATGCATCAAACGGGTCTTCCTGGTTGAAAGTTGCTGAGAGTGGCTGCCATTCTTCACCTCCTCTCTCTGCTCTGCTTCCTCGTCCCACTGCTTGCTGTGTCTCCACTTGGCTCTTACAACACCAGCAGTGGAGGACGCTGGTAGTCCACCAAAATCCTCTCTTCCCTTTTTCCATAGGAGTGGAATCAAAGTCAGGCATGAGGCTGCCTTTGCTACATTTGCCAGCTTAGCTTCCGTTACAGTTAGGTGAGGTCGTGGATGAAGCTCTTACCAGTGGGATGTGTTGTAACCAGGACCACTTGCAGCCTGCAGCTCCAGCAGTGTGCCCTGACCTCCTCCATACTCTCTTCCCACATGTGGCTGTGACTCAGCCTTGGCCATCCAGGCAGTGAATGGCAGAGTGCTAGAGAAGGGCAGAGCCTTGAGATGGAAGCAATCTAGTCCTCTAGCAAGTAGACAATACTGCCCATGGTCCAGGAATGCTTATCTAAGACATGCAAGACAAACTCCTTTCCTCTTTATCCCACCAAATTTGGGGTCTTTTTGTAAGAGCAGCTTAGCTCACACTCATGTGCTGACCTCCCTTCTGTCCAACTCTTCTAACACAGGAACTCACACTTCTGGTCACAACACTTCTTGCTTTTCACAAATTATCACTAAGCAGTTTGGTTTTCTTTTCTCCCCTTTTTAAAAAGAAAAAAACCCAAAAACATTGTAGATACCAGAGGGAAGATACAAAACGCAGACAGGCAAGAAAAATGATGCATAATCTCATGAAAATATGCAATTATTTAATGGCTCATTCTGTGTTATTATATTTGTGACCTCTTTTAATGTAAGAATATAGTGAACATCTTCGTGGGTTTTTTTTTTTTTGAGACTGAGTCTCGCTCTGTTGCCCAGGCTGGCGTGCAGTGGTATGATCTCAGCTCACTGAAACATCCACCTCCTGGGGTCAAGTGATTCTCCTGCCTCAGCCTCCCAAGTAGCTGGGACTACAGGCATGCACCCCCACGCCGAGCTAATTTTTGTATTTTTGGTAGAGACGGGGTTTCACCATGTTGGTCAAGATGGTCTCGATCTCTTGACATCATGATCTGCCTGCCTCAGCCTCCCAAAGTGCTGGGATTACAGGCCTGAGCCACCGGGTCTGGCCAGTGAACATTTTTTCATATCAAGAAATATCTTTTTCAACAGAATTTTTTGTTTTTAAATTTTTAAATTTTTTATTTTTAGATGTGACTTTTTAAAATTGAAAACCAAAAATGCCCTCAAATCTTTGAAGTCCTATTGGATTGGGATAAGTAGAGACAATGAACAAATATTTTGAGTAAAACAAACCTGATACAAGCCATGGCAAGTAAGGAATGTCCCAAAGAGGATTTTCCAGAGTTAAAATACATTCCAAGGCCAGCCATCTTGCCCTTCACTTAGACCCATGCTTCATCCTGGCCTTTGATTTGTAAATTTGCTTTATTTCTGATTTACCATAAACTAGAAAAAAAATAGAAGTCTTTTAAATAATCTTTTTGTTATTTTCACTTTATTTTCTCCCTTTATATATATTTTTTATCTTTTAAATGATTTCAACTTTTATTTTAGATTCAGGGGACACTTGTGCAGGTTCATTACCTGGATATAATGTGTGATGCTGAGGTTTAGGGTACACATGACCCTATCACCCAGGTACTGAGCATAGCACTCAGTAGTTAGTATTTGAGCCCTCTCCTCAGGCCCCCTCCCTTTTCTAGTGGTCCTCAGTTTCTATTGTTCCCATCTTTATGTCTGTAAGTACCCAGTGTTTAGCTTCCACTTGTAAGTGAGGACTTGCAGTATTTGGTTTTCTGTTCCTGAGTTAATTTGCTTAAGACAATGGCCTCCAGCTGTATTC